AAAAAAAAACTCCGACCGTTTTTTTAAATAAATGCGAATTTGTGGTCTATTTTGTATAGTGTCTTGTGGTTGTATCTCGTTTTCTGGTCCATTGATAGAATGGAAAACTATATTATAGAAATGGAGGTGATTTTGATTAATTTTACTATTAACAAAGAATGGAAATTTGGGAGCACAAAAGTTTCTTAAGAACAAGGAAATAGATTTGATTTTTGCCGATGTTCAAAAGTAAACAAATGATGTCATTTTCCAATAAATGTCCAAATAGCCATTCTAATACGCAGTCATGAATGGGTTGATGTAATTTTTACAATTATTACAGTATTGCAGTAGTCTGCATAACAGTAAATCTTCTATTTTTTGTTTGAATAAAATTTCAAAATAAAAAGCAAGAGTAATATCACAAGGACCTGGAGACATGACTGATGAACAAAGAAAATCTTATTTTAGAGCCAGGAATGTCTGCATTGTTCATTCTGGACCTTATTTTGAAATTGTCGTATTTTTTAATTTTCGTGAAATTGGCCAAATTGCAAATTTCTGACCATGTTATTGGGTAGTTGAAATCGGTAAATGGGCAGTTTCTTGTGCTCAATCGATAGAAAAAATAGAGTTCTGAAGAAATAGTTATGAGTTTGGTTGACTGGAATAATGGAATTAGCCGAAAATAGGGCTCAAAGTGGGCGATATTGCCGATTTTTAAATATCGCCGAAGTCGCTAACTTCGCGAGAGCGTAATTCCGTCAGTTTTCCATCAAATTTCGTTTTTTTGGTGTCTTTACAATCGGGAAAAGATTCTCTATCATTTCATAAGAAAAAATAATTTTTTTTTTTTTCGAATATTTTGCGACACCAGGAGCAACTTCAGGATTGGGCCCTTCGACAGTCAAAGGGTTAATTGGGTTAAGCTGCTTACGGTGTTGCTTTGTGAGGCTCTTTGCCACCTCTCGAAAGCTACCTTCTTCTGCCTGGCGAAGTCCACCCAAGTTTGCCCTGGTAACCTTTGCAGAGTACGGAAGGCTTGCTGGTAGCTCAAAGGGAGTAGATCATAGGTCTCCAGTATGACCTTTTTGACGGAGTCATATTGTATGTACTTTTCGTAAGGCAAAGCCGCGGTACATTCTCGAGCTTTACCAGTCAGCGTCGTATGCAACAAGACAGCCCAGAATTTTTGGGGCCACTGCATAGCTCAAGCCTGATTTTCGAACGTATTGAAGTACATGTCCAGATCAGACTCGCAAAACTTGGGCACCAAAGATGCTGCTTTATGAATGTTGAAAATATTTCTGGGGGCCTCGGGCCTCACAACTCCTTCCCTTTGCTGCTGATGTTCGTAGAGTATGGTGTCCCTCTCGAACTCTTCTGCATTCAGCTTCCTTTGGGCTTCTATTTGGGCCATTTGTAAAGTAATAAGGCGCTCCATTCTTTCGAACTGGCTCTGTGATATGGGCCCAATCGGTAGTGGAGGAGTTGGAGGATACAAGTTTTCCCGTCTTTCCTTGGGTCGAGCACCTGCGCTGGGTGTTTCTTTGTGAACCAGGGTCAGAAACTGGGTGATTAGAACGCCCCAATTTCAGGCACCTCTCCCAGAGATGTCCACTCACCAGCAGCTCCCTTTGATTCTGGCTCAGCCACATCACTAGAGGGTAGGGAAGTTGGAAGGCCACCAAGATCAAGTCCTTGTGCTCCAAGCAGTCGGTCCAAGTGTTCAAATTGAGATATTAGACTTGCCTTATCAGTATCGTCAATGTCATCCACCTCCCCTTGTTCCGGAAACAGCATGTTTCTCAAAATAGATCGAGTGGTCTCGGCGGTGTAATATTTGTTGTACTTCACTCCTAGGCGTACGGCAATTTGCCAGCACTTTTGAAGTTTTAAAGACCTCAAATCCTCCAAGGTTAACTCACATATTAACTGTTGCATTTGAGCCTCCTTAGTTAATTTTATGGGTACCTGAACAGCAGTTCACTTTCATGGGATTGGCACTTACTTCCTAGGGGTGATATTTCCTCCACCACCTTGGATCAGAGAGCAAGTCGCGGATGGGCCCCCACTTTGTTGCGTACAGGGCCACTACTTAAGCCTGTTTAGCCCTTTCTTGCAACAAATAAACAGGATTGAATATCCTGTTCTAGATGAAGTCATTCAAGGGTTCAGTAGTAAACAGTCACAATGTTTCTTTCCGGTTTTTTATTAAATTTCTTAATAAACCATAGAAGGTTGGAGGGTGTCGTCGTCTTCTATCTTGCGCTGACTTCCCCGAAGAGAAGCGCAGTCGGGCAGAGGCAGCAGTTACAGGGTCGATTGGAGCCACACCCCAGCTTTAGCGGACAGCAAAGTGCTGGGGAAACTTATCTTCATGGTGAATGGTCATGGATAGTTGTGCTAGAGGAGGGTACCGTCTTCAAGGTCCCCATTCTGAAGCATCCTGAATTTCCTCTTTGAGGTGTACTCGACTTCCACAAGGTGTTGGGTGTTGGCAGTGAGTAGTCTGGTCATGTCTGCAGTGGTGTATGTAACAGTTTGGTCGTAGGTATACTTGACTGCTCCGTCCTGGAGGTGCTGGTGGATTTCTGAAGACAGCATTCTGTTCTTATACTGCTTGGTTGTGTAGAAGTATACACCCTTCAGGCATCGGACTTGTTGTGGTGCAGCAGTGGCAGTGGCACCGTGAGGTGCATCCGCAGTTTCTTGTGTTTTTGCTTTCTTGGCTGGTGGCTGAACTGGTGAAGGCGAGATTTCCGACTGGTCACTTGCTCTAGCAGTGGATGCAAGCGGTAGTGGACTCTCATTGGTGGGGTTTGCCGACGTCTCAGTGGTCTCTGATTGGTCCATCTCTGTGTCTAGTGGAGGTTGTGACAGCGGTGGAGCAGCGGTGATGCTGGTAATATTTGCAGTAGATTTTACGATCTCAGTGGAAGGTGGTGATGCAGGGAATGTGAGGCCAGGGATATTATTTAGTTTGAAAAGTTCATTGATGGTGGTGTTGAAGGAACCAGGTTCAGCTGCATTCTGTACATGAGCATACATAATGCAATAAAGAATCATGGTGGAGTCGGCAGTAGGTGCTGGCAGGGAAGTGGTGGGAGCAGCTTGCGTGGCTTGTAGTATCTTTGTAGTGTCTGCTTGAAGCTTGGCAATAGCAGAATATGTGGTTGCTTGTGGGTTGGGTTTCTTTTGTTGTTGTTGTTTCTTGAGTTTGTCTCTTCTGGTAGGGCACCTGGCAGCAAGAGTATGGTGGTCATTCTTGAAGTTCAAGCATTTAGGTGGTGAAGCAGTAGTGCAATTCTTGAAGTCATGACCCTCACGGCCACAGGTGGAGCAGAACTTCTTGTCCTTGATAGGACAATCATTTGTGGTGTGTAAGTATGAGCAACAATTATAGCACTGTGAGATATGTTGGAATTTCTCTGCTTCGATGAAGGCTGGGTTGATGTGAAAGTGGTGAATAGCCAGGCCCTCAGCGAGAGCTCTGGCTGCCATGTTGACGTCACTGAAGGTGACCTTCAGCATGGATGAAGCATTGGGTATTTTAGTAATGAAGTCCACCTTGGCCCAAGGGTTCTTTGCTTTGATAGATGACTTGATTTCTTCAGTGGCCTGTACAGTGATAAGGTTGTCGTGTCGCTTGAGGAACACAGTTCTCCTGGCCCTCAGTGCTGGGGAAGTCAAGACAAGAAATCCCCGGTCTCGTAGAGTGGTAGTCGCAGTAGTGGTAAGTAGTTTCTCAGCCTCTGTGTCGTCTGTACAGATGACAACAAAGGCCTCCTTGAGTGATAAAATCACATTACATTTGACTTGCAGCCTGCCACTGACGACAGCTGCAAGTGCTAGTTTGGACGACTCATTGGTTGTGCCACTCGCTGGTTTGATCTTTACTCTGTTAGAGTAATGCATCGTGAGTAAGCAGTGCTCTGGTGTGTCTGATCTTGATGATGGAATCGATGTGTTCAGCCCATCACTCTTGTAGGAAAAATGACAAAAAGTACATGGACACAGAGGGTATATATAGGCTCAGAGTGAGGTGCAATACTAGAGGTAGTAGTAGTAGTAGTGATATAAGTTCTAGTACTAGTAGTAGTAATACAATATGGTAGAATAGTTAACTTGCACATGAGTAAAAGGATATAAAAGCTGTTACTTGGGTAGCATAAAATTAGGTTAGACAAATATTTCTATAGGAGGCTGGATAGAGAAGGCCTGTTTCAATGTTCATTCTCTGTAATGTGCCTGTGTAGTAGGAGAGACTGTGTGATGGCAGGGTTTACTGTTTTCAGGAGGATTTTTGCTAAGGCTTCAGAGATGGTGAAGCTGCCTTTGTTTTGTTTAATTGTATTAGAAACAGTGATTAGTGATGATTTAAGGCACTTGCATCTGCAGAAATTAGTTTCTTTGATCACTAATTGGACATCCCTGAATGAAATGGTATAAAATATTAAAATGGTATAAAATACCTGTTGGTATTTTATACCATTTTAATATTCACTCTGTCAGACACTGTAACACAATGGTATCTTGGTACAGAACAGAAAACAACTTGGACAACTTCTACTAGTGAGAATGGCTGGATTTGAGAGGGACATGACCTCCGAACGACTACCTCTACTAGTGGCCTACATCTCACCTCCTGGCGGTATATAAGGCTCCATCCTGTCACTTCAACTCCATATTGTTTCAGACTATGGAACAGTACTCTTCTCCAGACTGAGGGACTGACCACCTCAAAACTTCAAGGGTGATGGACTGATTGCAGCGTCTTCACTTCTCTTCTATCAACTTTTTTGTACTCGGCTGAAGAAGCCTACTGTGTAGGCGAAATGTTTCAAAATAAAGATACCTAACTGTTGCATATGTGTCTTACCTAACAACCACATAAAACTTCAGCAAAAGAGGCTCGCAGTGAGCAATAAATTGTTTTGAAATTCACTTTCCATTATTCAGTATAGAGTTATTGCCTTGAGAATCATTTTGTTGTGAATTTACTCGATGATTTTTTACAGGATGCTGGAGTTGTGACACAAGAATGCTGAAATGGCTGTGCTGTGGGAAAGACAACAGTTGCTGCTACAATGATTTGTCAGAAGAAGAGATACTGAGAGAAGAGGGCACCCTACCAAGACCCCTAGTTTCAGGTGAGGCAAGGAATGATGTACCAACTTGCCAGGAGTTTCAACATGGAGTTCCTGCAGTGGATACATTGGAAGACCCAGAGAAAGAAACGCCCAAAGCAATAGTTAAGGTTTCACAGATACAGCTTGGCACATCATCAACAGCCGGTCATTCAAAGAACTTAAATGAATTTGAAAATTGTAAAAATTCCCAAGATCAGAGTTATGATACTGTATCTGAAACATTAGCAGACTTATCACATTCTGAGGTAAGCAGCTCACCAACACAGAAAACCACTGCTAACACTAACCTTGTAGAAACAAGGCCACATCAGCCTTATCATGGACTCTTACCATGTAAGCAAAATATAGTAAACATTATGACATTTAACAGTGAAGATGAAAAAGCATCTGAGGAAGTACAAAATATTGATAAAGAAAAATTGCCACCATATAAAAAAGTGCAAGGAGGCAATGTTGAGGTTATGACTGATTGTCAACATGAACCAAATCTGGCCAATACCAATGACAAAAATGGATGGGTGACAAATTTAATCCAAAATACGAGTAAGCGGCTGGACAAAAAAGATGTGAGCAATAAAATATATGCAGATATATTGCCTAATCATAGTCCTGGTAAGGTAGAAAGTAATGCTATAGACCTCTCTTCCTTTCCAGAAGTAGACATTGATTGCCAAGATATTAGTAAAATATTATGCAAGACAGTTGAAATTTCTAATCATTTCATTTGTCAAGGGTTGTCTTGTTTATACAATCACATGGGCTATTTATGTAAACTTTCTGGTAAACTGTATATCTTGACAACTGTGTTGAAGACTCAAGTACTGGTTAACACTGCTGTACAAGTATCAGATGGCATGAGAGTTGGATGTAGGCTTGTATGGAAAGGGACAGTACCAATTCCAATCTTTGAACTTCCTGACCATGCTTGTGTACAATTTGATGCAGTTGTGTTGCCAAATACAAAGGCATTCCATACCATAGTTATCTGGCAGGAAGAGAAGCCAGACTTTGTTACTGAACCACTTAATGATTCGTATATATTTATTGAAAGCCGTGAACTTCCTGTTTTACGTTTTGTTCATGAAAAGACCACATCTTATATAGAAGTAAAATTTGATGATAAACTGGTTAAATCAGAGTTTTGTAAAGATTTAATTTTTGTAGATGAGAAACCAGCAAGTATATCAGATATGTCAGTGTTTAAAGGTACAGTTTTTGCCAGAGTATGTAAAATGATGGGTTGTGATGCAGTGGGAACTCTCTCTTACATGTGTTACTGTATTTGGTCTGGCAAGAGGCCACCAAGAGATTTCTCACACATGGTCTTTAAGAAGGGTGAAGCGTACAAAAGGGAGCCAAGTGGCAAGTACATTCAAAAAAGTGAATTCCAGCGATTGTGGTGTGATATTCCCTCACAACTGAAGATAAACAATCTAGAATTCTATCTTATGCTTTGTGTTAAGGAAATGAGATTATCAATAAATGTGGCCAAAGAAAAGTTGTGTTGTCAGAGCTTCAAAATAACATCAGATTCTACACTTAATATATCAGTGAAGACACATATAATGGAAATTGTAAATAGAGATGATAAATCTTGGGAAATTCTATTGGTCCAGCTACCTCATTCTGAAAATGGTCAACTTACTGAAGTTTTCTCAGCATGTACTCCGACGACTAAAGCACTTGCTTCGTTTGCTCAGGAAAGCCCCTTGGCAAACAATGAGTCAGCCCTACAGAAAGGAAAATCCACCTTTTCACTGCCAGTACCTCACAAAAATTTAAATACAATATTGGGAAATCCCCAGAGAGAAGAGAGACAAGCAGCAAGCAGAGATGTGGTACAGGCAACATCTGCTAGCGACTCCTCTTCCCTGTCATCACAACCATATGAGGGTGGTAATTGTTCCATGAAAACTCATAAAAACACTTCTGATACTGATACTATTGAAGTAGAAGAGTGTGTCTGGCACTTTGGTAGCATTTCCCAAGGAGTTATTACTCATTTTAATAAAACTATTCTAATAAGGCATGATAGTTTTTTTGTAGATGGTGTGAGAGCTCTTTCAAGTGATCCTCTAGCTAAATTTTGTTCTAAAATTGTCTTAGTGAATGCGGTCATCAAACCACTTCCTGTTCCAATAACAGTCCTAGGATGTACTGTGACTCACAAAGCTTTAGTGGCATGGCAGGGCAATAAACCATTTGAGAATATCCATTCTAAAGCATTGCCAGACTTGAGATATATTGATCACAACATACCTGTAACAAAAAATTTTACCATTCAGAAAGACAGTCTGTTCTTTACAAATGCTGCATGCAAGGAACCTAACAGACCAAGGACAGAGAGAGGATTTAACAATAATGCACCACCCCATAGACATGTTTCTTACATAGGTTCATGTACTTGGAAACTAGCAACCATATCTCTTGGCATTGTTGCAAATAGCACAAGTGTTATTGTTATCAATCACAATAAGTTTTTTGTAGCTCAAAAGAAAGTTTCAGCTACTGATCCTTTGGTGAAGTTCAAGGGTAATTGTAAGTTAGTGAATGTTGAGGCAGCAGTGTTGTACCCAGCTCGCACAGTGCTAGGTCAGACTGCATCTCATGAGGCTGTGGTAGCCTGGCATGGAAAGAAGCCACCCGAAGCACAAGCCATTGTTAATGAGTATCTTTTAGGAAAGCCTACCAACAATAAATATAACAATATTCAAATATGTGTGACAAAATCAGACAGATATTTTCTCTTAAAAGGTAATGAAAGGAGTTCTATCCCTATGTGTTTCCCTCATGCACAGCTGTGTAAAAGCTTTAACAGTCACTTTATTGCAGATGTATCAGGAAAACTAATTGAAGTTGGAGAGGATTATGGCATTCTTAGAATTCGTGGTAATTTCACAGAAAAGGAAGCTCTTGTTGTGATCCATCGATCGGTAATTTACATTGATAAAAAAAAAGTCCTCAGTGACAGACCTTTGGATCAACAAATTAAAATCTCTGGTCCTAAACAGTTTCATTGCTCAGTAATGAAACATGTTACTAAAATTGGAAATACGAACATACAGTATAAAGCAACTTTGGTTTGGCAAGGCAAGAAACCAACAAAGGATGATATTTGTCTTCAAAACTCCAGCAAGTTTTTACCTACTACCACCAAGACAGACTTGGAAGGGAGAAGGAGCACCACCTCTTCCTCTTTTTTGCCTGAGAGTACAGGGAATGAAAGCTCCAGTAGCACAAACATTAGTAGCTCGAGTGAATCCCTGGTAACACTCCATACAACTGCATCCACTGACATGGGCCACTCAGTCTACACATTATTAGATGAGACTGAAGATGATGGGGTAAATATTATTGGACTTCATTAATTACTGTATACAGGGTTGATAGAGCTCTAGATAAGTTAATATGTTTGCCGAACATGTAGCTTTGTAATCTTGAATATTTGACTTCTATGAACAGATCATTGCAGATTCTAGTCAGAACATTATCTAGCCTCATTGATACATGTTATAAATGCATTATTTCTCCCTGTACTGGACATAAGAGAAAAGGTTCAGCTATGGTAGTCTCATTGAAATTTTAACTTTATTTTGGTAGTTGCAGGAGCAGAGCTATGCTCAAGGTGTTCTTCTTTGGTATTGCTTTGTCAAATTCTTTATTTAATTTCCATTGGATGCACCACTTCCATCTCTTAAATCCTATTTCATTGTGGCAGCCAGGGATATATATTATTGTGTGGTGGCACTCAGATATGATGTCATTGTGTGATGGCACTCAGATATGATGTCACTGTGGTGGCACTCAGATATGATGTTATTGTGTGGTGGCACTCAGATATGAAATCATTGTGTGGTAGCACTCAGATATGATGTGTGTGTGTGTGTGTGTGTTTTAGTTACCATTTTGTCCTAGGCACATGTCGATTAGACACTAGGCCTGTTGTATATGCGTTCTTGTATGTGTGCATGTGTGTGTGTGTGTGTGTGTGTGTGTGTGTGTGTGTGTGTGTGTGTGTGTGTGTGTGTGTGTGTGTGTGTGTACTCACCTATTTGTGGTTGCAGGGGTCGAGTCATAGCTCCTGGCCCTGCCTCTTCACTGATTGCTACTAGGTCCTTTCTCTTCTTGCCCCATGAGCTTTATCATACCTTCGCCTTAAAACTATGTATGGTTCCCGCCTCCACTATGTCACTTTCTAGGCTATTCCACGGCCTGACCACTCTATGACTGAAGAAATACTTTCTAACATCCCTTTGATTCATCTGAGTCTTCAACTTCCAATTGTGACCTCTTGTTTCTGTGTCCCATCTCTGGAACATCCCGTCTTTGTCCACCTTGTCTATTCCGCGCAGTATTTTATATGTCGTTATCATGTCTCCCCTGACACTCCTGTCCTCCAGTGTCGTCAGGCCGATTTCCCTCAACCTTTCTTCGTAGGACAATCCTCGTAGCTCTGGGACTAGTCTTGTTGCAAACCTTTGCACCTTTTCTAATTTCTTGCGTGCTTGACTAGGTGTGGATTCCAAACTGGTGCTGCATGCTCCAGTATGGGCCTGACGTAAATGGTATACAGAGTCTTGAACGAATCCTTGCTGAGGTATCAGAACGCTATCCATAGGTTTGCCAGGCGCCCGTATGCTGCAGCAGTTATCTGATTGATGTGCGCCTCAGGAGATATGCTCGGTGTTATACTCACCCCCAGATCTTTTTCCTTGAGTGAAGTTTGCAGTCTTTGGCCATCTAAACTATATTGTGTCTGCGGTCTTCTTTGCCCTTCCCCAATCTTCGTGACTTTGCATTTGGCAGGGTTAAACTCAAGGAGCCAGTTACTGGACCAGGCTTGTAGCCTGTCCAGGTCTCTTTGTAGTCCTGCCTGATCCTCATCCGATTTGATTCTTCTCATTAACTTCACATCATCTGCAAACAAGGACACTTCTGAGTCTATCCCTTCCGTTATGTCGTTTACATATACCAAGAACAGCACAGGTCCTAGGACTGACCCCTGTGGAACCCCGCTTGTCACAGGCGCCCACTCTGACACCTCGTCACGTACCATGACTCGCTGTTGCCTCCCTGTCAGGTATTCTCTGATCCATTGCAGTGCCTTTCCTGTTATCTGTGCCTGATCCTCTAGCTTTTGCAGTAACCTCTTGTGAGGAACTGTGTCGAAGGCCTTCTTGCAGTCCAAAAAAATGCAGTCGATCCACCCATCTCTCTCTTGTCTTACTTCTGTCACCTTATCATAAAACTCTACTAGGTTTGTGACACAGGATTTTCCTTCCCTGAAACCGTGCTGGTTGTCAATTATACACTTGTTTCTTTCCAGGTGCTCCACCACTCTCCTCCTGATGATCTTCTCCATGACCTTGCATACTATACACGTTAGTGATACAGGTCTGTAGTTTAGTGCCTCATGTCTCTCTCCCTTTTTAAAAATTGGGACTACATTTGCCATCTTCCATACCTTGGGGAGTTGCCCAGTTTCAAATGATGTGTTGAAGATCTTTGTTAATGGTACACACAATATCTCTGCTCCCTCTTTAAGGACCCACGGAGAGATGTTGTCTGGTCTCACCGCCTTTGAGGTGTCAAGTTCGCACAGCAGCTTCTTCACCTCCTCCTTGGTTATATGTATTTCATCCAGCACTTGCTGGTGCCCCCCCCCTGTTCTGATTTCCTGGAGTCCTACTGGTTTCCACTGTAAATACTTCTTTAAATCTCGTGTTGAGCTCCTGACATACCTCCTGGTCGTTTCTTGTGAATTCCCCATCACCCTTCCTCAGTCTGATTACCTGGTCCTTGACTGTTGTTTTCCTCCTGATGTGGCTGTACAACAGCTTCGGGTCAGTCTTGACTTTCGATGCTATGTCATTTTCATATTGGCGCTGAGCCTCCCTTCTTATCTGTGCATATTCGTTTCTGGCTCTTCGGCTAATCTCTTTATTTTCCTGAGTTCTCTGTCTTCTGTACCTTTTCCATTCTCTAGTACACCTAGTTTTTGCCTCCCTACACCTTTGGGTGAACCAAGGACTCATTCTGTTCTTCCCATTATTTCTGTTTCCCTTGGGAACAAACCTCTCCTCTGCCTCCTTGCATTTTGTTGCCACATAGTCCATCATTTCTTGTACTGGTTTTCCTGTCAGTTCCCTCTCCCACTGAATGTCTTGAAAGAAGTTCCTCAAGCCTAAGTAGGTCCCCCTTTTGTAATTTGGTTTTTCCCACCCTGTTCCTGCTGCTCTCTCCACTTGGAGCTCAACTATGTAGTCAAAGCACAGAACCACATGATCACTAGCTCCCAGGGGCCTTTCATACATGATATCCTCAATGTCAGAACTACTCAAGGTGAATACAAGGTCCAGTCTTGCTGGTTCATCCTCTCCTCTCTCTCTGGTAGTGTCTCTAACATGTTGATGCATGAGGTTTTCCAGTACCACATCCATCATCTTGGCTCTCCATGTTTTGGGACCCCCATGGGGCTCCAGGTTTTCCCAGTCAATCTCCTTGTGATTGAAATCACCCATAATTAGTAACTTTGCTCCCCCCATGTGTGCTCTCCTGGCCACCTCGGCTAGTGTGTCGACCATTGCTCTGTTGCTCTCATCGTATTCTTCTCTTGGCCTCCTGCAGTTCTGTGGTGGGTTGTACATTACTGCAATTATCACCTTATGTCCCTCAGACTGGATTGTTCCTGCTAAGTAGTCCCTTTCACCCGTGCCATCCATTCCTTCCATTTTCTCAAACCCCCACTGGTTTTTAATGAGCAGTGCAACTCCTCCTCCCCCTCTCCTCCCTCTGTCTTTCCTGAGGATTTGATATCCGGATGGAAAGATTGAATCTGTTATATTATTCTGGTGAGTTTTGTTTCTGTGAGTGCTATTATGTCTGGGGATGTCTCCTTGATTCTTTCGTGCCACTCCTCATACTTATTTGTTATTCCATCTGCATTTGTATACCACACCTTCAACTTCTTTTCTAAGATTGTGGTCTGGGAGGTGTATTGGGGTTGGGGAAGTGGGAGACCTGATAAGGAACTATGGGTGGTTGCTGTGGGGGTGGAGTTTGTAATGCAGTGGGTGGGGGCATTGGATGTGGCATGGGTGTTTTGGTTTAGAGTGTTTGGTTGCACTGGGGTTGACCTGGTTGAGAGGCTTCTATAGGAAGTTGTGAGGGAGGCTGTATTTGATCTTCCTGTGTCTGTGATCTCCTGTCTGTCTTCTCCATCCCCTCTCTTTCCTCCTTTCGCCTTTGTACCATCTCTCTCTGTTTCTTCCTTTCTGCTTGTGTTCTGTCGCAGTCGAGATACACCTTCCTGTGTACTCACCTATTTACTCACCTATTTGTGGTTGCAGGGGTCGAGTCCTAGCTCCTGGCCCCGCCTCTTCACCGGTTGCTACTAGGCCCTCTCTCTCCCCGCTCCATGAGCTTTATCAAACCTCGTCTTAAAACTGTGTATGGTTCCTGCCTCCACTACGTCATTTTCTAGGCTATTCCACTGCCTTACAACTCTATGACTGAAGAAATACTTCCTACTATCTCTCTGATTCATTTGTGTCTTCAACTTCCAATTGTGGCCTCTTGTTTCTGTGTCCCCTCCCTGGAACATCCTGTCTTTGTCCACCTTGTCTATTCCACGCAGTATTTTATATGTCGTTATCATGTCTCCCCTGACCCTCTGTCCTCCAGTGTCGTCAGGCCGATTTCCCTTAATCTTTCTTCATAGGACATTCCCCTTAGCTCTGGAACTAACCTTGTCGCAAACCTTTGTACTTTCTCTAGTTTCTTGACATGCTTTATCAAGTGCGGGTTCCAAACAGGTGCTGCATACTCCAGTATGGGCCTGACATACACGGTGTACAGTGTCTTGAATGATTCCTTACTAAGGTATCGGAATGCTGTTCTCGGGTTTGCCAGGCGCCCATATGCTGCAGCAGTTATCTGATTGATGTGTGCTTCCGGAGACATGATCGGTGTTATACTCACCCCAAGATCTTTCTCCTTGAGTGAGGTTTGCAGTCTTTGGCCACCTAGCCTATACTCTGTCTGTGGTCTTCTGTGCCCTTCCCCTATCTTCATGACTTTGCATTTGGCAGGATTAAATTCGAGAAGCCATTTGCTGGACCAGGTGTCCAGTCTGTCCAGGTCTCTTTGAAGTCCTGCCTGGTCCTCATCAGATTTAATTCTCCTCATTAACTTCACATATCTGCAAACAGGGACACTTCTGAGTCTAACCCTTCCGTCATGTCGTTCACATATACCAAAATAGCACTGGTCCTAGGACCGACCCCTGTGGGACCCCGCTCGTCACAGGTGCCCACTGTGATACATCATTAGTACCATGACTCGTTGTTGGCCTCCCTGTCAGGTATTCTCTGATCCATTGCAGTGCCCTTCCTGTTATATGCGCCTGATGCCTCTAGCTTCTGCACTAATCTCTTGTGAGGACTGTATCAAAGGCCTTCTTGCAGCCCAAAAGAAGATGCAATCAACCCACCCCTCTCTCTCTTGTCTTACTTCTGTTATTTTATCATAAAACTCCAGAAGGTTTGTGACACAGGATTTGCCTTCCGTGAATCCGTGCTGGTTGGCATTTATACTCCTGTTCCGTTCCAGGTGCTCCACCACTCTCCTCCTGATAATCTTCTCCATAATTTTGCATACTATACACGTCAATGACACAGGTCTATAGTTTAGTGCCTCTTTTCTGTCTCATTTTTTAAAAATGGGAACTACATTTGCCATCTTCCATACCTCAGGTAGTTGCCCAGTTTCCAGGGATGTGTTGAAGATTGTGTGTGTGTGTGTGTTGTGTGTGTGTGTGCACGCTCACGCGTGCATGCATGCTCACCTATATGTGGTTGCAGAGGTCGAGTCACATTTGTTATAAATAATGGCAGCCAAGTGTGTATATCATTGTTGTGTACTGGCAGCCTGGTGTCTTTCACTGATGTGTAGTGGAAGCCAGGCTTATATATCATTGTTGCATAATGGCTGCCAGGTGTGTATGTCATTGTTGTGTGGTGGCAGCTAGCATGTGCAGTGGCAGCAGCTAAGTGTGAATGTCACTTGTGTAATAGCAGCTAGCATTGTGCATTTGCATCACCTAAGTGTGAATGTCATTGTTGTGTGGTGGCAGCTACAGTTGTATGGTGGCAGCTAGGTGTGTCTAATAGTGTTACACATAAAGTGTGTAACTGTGTTTGAACATTTTCCAGATATTGACAGATGCACAGGTGACGGAGCTACAGAAAATGATGGGTAGACTCCAGGTACGAGGAGGAGAATTATACTACTTTAACTGCAAACATAGCTTCCTCTTTGGCATCAGGCTCCACCAGGTAGAGCTTTGTCAAGTCCTCCACGTAGGTTAGTTCTGCCCACCTCACCTTCCTGTTTGACATTTCCTGCAGAATTTTACAACTTACTTACTTTATGTGCCAGATATGTGTAGTACAGTGGTACCTCGAGTTACAAACTTAATTCATTCCAGAAGGCTGTTCGAGTGTCAATACCGAATGAATTTGTTCCCTTATAGAATAATGTAAATTAGATTAGTCCATTTCAGACCCCCAAAAATACACTTACAAAAGCACTTACAAAAATACATTTACATAATTGTTAGAGTTGGGGGCTGTTCGAAACTCAAGGTACCACTGCTTTAATAATGCATTGGAAAAAAATACGGAATAGTTTAATCAAATCCAGCATGTCCAAAGTCAGTCTAAATTTAGTTAGTACAAGTTGACCATCACTAATCGGGCATCATTGGGACCTGTAGGGTGCCAGATTACAGAGTGGTTAGTTTAGAATATGTACACAGCTCATTATATTTATGCATAGGCAATTTCACCCACTTTAAGCCCTGTTTTTGGCACATTCCATTGTTCCACTCTACCAAACTTATACCTATTTCAACCACCCAGTAAAGTGGTCAGAAATTGGTAATTTGGTCAATTTCACACAAATTTCATGACATGTCAGTTTCAGAATAGGGTCCAGAATAAACAATGCAGACATTCCTGGCAATAAAGTAACATTTTTTCTGTTCATTAGGCACATCTCCAGGCCCCTCTTATATTATACTTGCTTTCCGTTTTGAATTTTTATTCACACAAAAAATAGAGGATTTACTGTTATGCAGACTACTGCATTATTGTAATAATTGTATAAATAATGTCAACCCATTTGCAACTGCGTATTAGACCAGCCAGTTGGACATGTATTGGACGGTGACATCATTTGTTTACTCTTGAACATAGGCAAAAATCAAACATTTCTGCTACTTTGAGCTCAATTTCAAGGTACTTTCCATCATGAAACCAATCAGAATCATATCTACTTCTGTAATATATCTTCCATTCTATCAAATGAGACCAAAAAATGAGAATACAACCATAAAAAACATATGAAAATACAGTGGACCCTCGACTTACGATATCAATCCGTTCCTGAGAGCATATCGGTAGATGAAATTATTGTAAGTCAAATTAATTTTCCCCATAAGAAATAATGGAAATCAAATTAATCCATTCCAGACATCCCAAAGTATGAAAAAAAAATATTTTTACCATGTGAAATACAGTGGACCCCCGGTTAACGATATTTTTTCACTCCATAAGTGTGTTCAGGTGCCAGTACTGACCGAATTTGTTCCCATAAGGAATATTGTGAAGTAGATTAGTCCATTTCAGACCCCCAAACATACACGTACAAACGCACTTACATAAATACACTTACATAATTGGTCGCATTCGGAGGTAATCGTTATGCGGGGGTCCACTGTATACATTTTCCTACACACAAACAGAAGGATACATGCACAATATATATTGTGTAATGGAGAATAAATGGCACTTACCTTTATTGCAGATGTAGTGATGAGAGATGGGATGGAGGGAGGGGAGATGATGGAGGAGTACATATTTTTTGGGGAAGGGGAATCCCCTTCCATAAGGACTTGAGGTAGCAAATCCTTTTCTGGGGTTACTTCCCTTCTTCCTTTAATGCCACTGGGAACAACTTGAGAGTCACTGGACCTCTGTCGCACCAAAAATCTGTCCATAGAGCTCTGTACCTCACGTTCCTTTAAGATTTTCCTAAAGTGGTTCATAACATTGTCATTGTAAAAGTCACCAGCAATAGTCACCAGCTTGCAATAGCTGTGTCAGGGTGATTTTCTTCCATAAAGGTTTGCAGTTCAGCCCACTTTGCACACATTTCCTTAATTTCTCTCTCCCCTCCTCTGAAGCAGTTTCCTCAGTTGTGGCATCTTGCTGTTGCAAATGCTCTTGCAGCTCATCAGTGGTTAATTTTTCATTGTTTTCCTCCATCAACTTTTCCACATCCTCCCCACTAACCTCCAACCCCATGGACTCCTTCTCTCCAATTTGATATCCAATTTTTCTTTATCTAAATCATTTGATACTCTCATACATTTATTAAACAAAAATACCAACCACTCTAACACTATATATCCCCCTGCTTTTAACATTTCTGTCATGATCCCATCAGTTCCAGCTGCTTTACCCCCTTTCATTCTACGTAATGCCTCATGCACCTCCCCCACACTCACATCCTGCTTTTCTTCACTCCTAAAAGATGGTATACCTCCCTGGCCAGTGTATGAAATTACCGCCTCCCATTCTTCATCGACATTTAAAAGTTCCTCAAAATATTCCCGCCATCTACCCAATACTTCCATCTCCCCCTCTACTAACTCCCCTACTCTGTTTTTAACCGACAAATCCAGTCGTTCCCTAGGCTTTCTTAACTTATTTAACTCCAAAAAGTTTTTCTTATTTTCATTAAAATTTCTTGACAGTGCCTCTCCCACTCTATCATCTGCTCTCCTTTTGCATACTCTCACCACTCTTTTCACTTTTCTTTTACTCTCCATATGCTCTGCTTTTCTTATAACACTTCTGCTTTGTAAAAACCTCTCATAAGCTACCTTTTTCTCTTTTATCACACCCTTTACTTCATCATTCCACCAATCACTCCTCTTTCCTCCTGCACCCACCCTCCTATAACCATAGACTTCTGCCCCACATTCTAATACTGCATTTTTAAAACTATTCCAACCCACTTCAACCCCCCCTTCCTTCCCCACTACTCATACTTGCACTAGCCCACCTTTCTGTCAATAGTTGCTTATATCTCACCTAAACTTCCTCTTTCCTTAGTTTATACACTTTCACCTCTCTCTTACTTGTTGCCATTTTCCTCGTCCCATCTACCTCTTACTTGGACTGTAGCTACATCTAAATAATGATCTGATATATCAGTTGCCCCTCTATAAACATGTACATCCTGGAGCCTACCCATCAACCTTTTATCCACCAATACATAATCTAACAAACTACTTTCATTACGTGCTATATCATACCTTGTATATTTATTTATCCTCTTTTTCATAAAATATGTATTACTTATTACCAAACCTCTTTCTACACATAGTTCAATTAAAGGCTCCCCATTTTCATTTACCCCTTGCACCCCAAATGTACCTACTATTCCCCCCACAACATTTTTACCCACTTTAGCATTGAAATCCCCAACCACAAGTACTCTCACACTTGGTTCAAAACTCCCAATGCATTCACTCAGCATTTCCCAAAATCTCAATCTCTCTCTCTCTCTCTCTCTCTTTACACTTCTCTCTTCTCCAGGTGCATATATAGTTTATAAATATGGCCTTTAATTCTGCTAAGTGTTCCTTGTCAGTTTCAAAGTCATTACAGCTAAATATGACAAAAAGTTACTTAGTGCTTAGTTTGAGGAAAAAATCCAAAAAAGAGCTCCTTTTAGGTCAAAGATAATAAGACATAAGCTATATCTTACTAGAAAATTGTGTTTGAGAAGGGAAGAGAGCCTTCACAACAATGCAAATTTAGTTCTGAAAGGTGTGAGACTTCATAACATAAAGTTTTCTGGTGAAAGTGCATTAGCTCATTTACATCCAACTTGGCCCAGTGGACTCTCATTAATCTTCCCAACATTTTTCAGGTGTTTCAAGGAATGACTAACAGAATGAGCGGTAAGTTATACTGTAGTAATTTTTACATGCATAGTACAGTAATAAAAACAGATTTAGGTGGTCAACTTTGGTGTTGTCTGGATCATAATTCTTTTGTCCCGCATGTTCTTCACATCATATAACACTTTTATGTTACATTCCATTTCTTGGGAATGTGAGGGCTAACTGGAGTTAGGTATAAATTGGAACAGCCTCACAAAGAACCAGTGGGTATTCTCTCTTATTTATTTTTATAATCTTTTGTTTATTGTTGCTGATCAGTGACTGATTTTGATGGTTCCTGAGAGATGCTTTACATCCTCATATCTGACATAGACAGAGATGTTTCACATCCTCATATCTGACATAGACAGAAATGTAAGCCATAGCTCCATGTCTTCCTTTGCAGATGACACCCGAATTGCCATGACAGTGTCCTCCATTGAAGACACCACAAGACTCCAAGTGGGCATCAACCAAATCTTCAAATGGGCCACTCAAAACAATATGAAATTCAATGAAGAGAAATTTCAACTACTCAGATATAGAAAACTTGAGGAAATTAAAACTAACAAATTCTAACCATACAATAGAGCAAAAAAGTAATGTGAAGGACCTGGGAGTGATAATGTCAGAGTTTCTCACCTTCAAAGACCACAGCACCGTATCTACTACATCTGCTAGAAAAATGATAGGATGGATAATGAGAGCCTTCAAAACTAGGGATGCCAAGCCCATGATGATTCTCTTCAAATTGCTTGTTCTCTCTAGGCTGGAATACTACTGTACACTAACTGCCCCCTTCAAGGCAGGCGAAATTGCTGACTTGGAGAATGTACAAAGAACTTTCATGGCACACATAAGTACAACAAAGTACCTAAATTACTGGGAACGGTTGAAGTCCCTTAATTTGTATTCCCTGGAATGCAGGCGTGAAAGATACATGATAATATACACTTGGAAAATCCTAGAGGGATTGATACCAACTTGCACATGAAACTCACTCCCCCAATGAAAAGCAGGGGCACCATAAGTACACTGAGAGAAAACACAATAAATGTCAGGGGCCCAAGACTGTTCAACTGCCTCTCAGCATACATAAGGGGGACTACCAGTAGTTCCCTGGCTGTCTTCAAGAAGGTGCTGGACAGGCTTCTAAAATCAGTACCTGACCAGCCGGGCTTTGGTTCATAAGTCAGTTTGCGTGCAGCCAACAGTAACAACCTGGTTGACCAGACCCTGATCCACCACGAGGCCTGGTCTCAGACTGGGCCATGGGGGCGTTGACCCCCGAAACCCTCTCCAGGTATATCAGTATTATGGTTCAGCAGTGCTCTTTGTATTCTGTAATTTTATTGCATAAATGCAGGAGCATCGTAAGGGAGGGCAGGCCACCCCAGGTGACACCATTTAGGGGGTGACACCATAGAGCCTCTAAAGAAGGTTACACTAATGACCAAAACCATGCTGCAGCAATCTATGAGAAAAATTCTTCGTTTCTATATAGCCTATTATAGGATTATAGAGTACAAATAGGCCTATATAGGAAAAATCATTGATTTTGATGATGTGATAGATGTTTTTGCAGGATTGAAGGCAAGGAAATGAAATATCAAATTCTATGAGATGTTACCTGTACTCAAGGTTAAATTGGAACTAGTTTTTTTCTTTATTTTTCAAGTTTTTTGTTTTTGTTGTTGAAGATGAATAAATGTATGATTTGTTGCCTATACTCAAAGTGGTATTTGAGCTTATGTTTCCTCAATATTACTACGATTATTTATTTTATCATTAATAAAGTTTGGTTTATGGCCTTTAAACATTCTCATTGCTAAACATTAGTCACTGGGCATGCAGCAATGATGTAACTGGAGTTTACTCCCCTTTCCCCCCGCCCTTGGATTTCATGGGGGTGACACCAAAGATTCCACCCCGGGTGACACCAACCCTTGCGATGCCTCTGCATAAATAGCTCACAAATGCTATTTGTACATTGCAGGTATGAATGTAAAGTGCAGACTGAAGAAACATAATGATCAACTGTGGGCAATTGAAGGTGTGTGGATAGGTGGGAAGAAGCCACAGGACCCCTGTGCCGGGTATGCACTTCTGCTCCAGTGGTGTCACAAGCATAATGTTCCTGATGATGCTGTGGACAGTCTGGTCAGTAACAGGCATACCTGCTCATACAGACTCATTGTATTATGCTGTAATTTATCATTGTATTAAGCTGTATGTATTATTTGGAAAAATTATCATCATAGTGGTTTGCATAGTGTAATAATATAATTACAGTCACTAGTTAGACAGCTCATCAGTAAATATTGTGTGGCAAAAATAAAATAATCAGTTACAGTAGTCTCCAAACACAGTATGTATATACATAGTACTGCATTCACACTCTTTCAGTAGAAATAGAAAAACATCAACAACCACCAGTGTGTTATTTGTTAATACAACCTCTCCTCACTTTACGACAGAGTTCCGTTCCTAATACCTTATCGGTAAGTGAGGAGCATGCTATAATGGTAGTGGGTTTATGTCACCCATCTTTGATATTGTTTTAATGTCACCTTTGCACCATTTATAGCATTTCTGGTATATTTTTAAATGTTCATACGGTAGTGTACTGTATATTGTAATAAGCAGATTAGAGGAAATCAGTTCTAACATATTTAGGTATGAATACAGTGGACCCCCGGTTAACGATATTTTTTCACTCCAGAAGTATGTTCAGGTGCCAGTACTGACCGAATTTGTTCCCATAAGAAATATTGTGAAGTAGATTAGTCCATTTCAGACCCCCAAACATACACGTACAAACGCACTTACATAAATACACTTACATAATTGGTCGCATTTGGAGGTAATCGTTATGCGGGGGTCCACTGTACTGGTCAGAGAGCCTGTCGTAAGTCTGAGTCATCGGTAAATGAGTACGTCGCTAAGTGAGGAGAGGCTGTACTGTAGCATGTCTGGTAAAAGTTGTTACTTATATTGTGAAATGCATATTGTTCATATTTATTCATTCCTAGTAATCAGTATTCTGCAAAGTCACTTTTGGCTCTGATAACAGTAAATACAGCCTCTCCTCCTCACTTAGCGACGTACTCATTTACTGATGCCTCTGACTTATGACAGGCTCTCTGACCAGCATTCATGCCTAAATAATGTATACTAGAGCTGATTTTCTCTATTCTGTTTACAGTGGACCCCTGGTTATTGGCCGGTTTGGTTATCGGCCAACTCGGTTATCGGCAGGTTTTTTGGTGCCCGGTTATCGGCCGTTCGCTCGGTTATCGGCCGTTTTGGACGCGTCCATCCGCCGGCTGGGGCAGCTTGCGTTTCAGCTTGGCTTTGTCTCTCGGTGGCTGAGGAAGCTTCTGCTCATACATCCAAACATGTTTGCTTGTTTACCATTGTTTTTAGTGGTTTTTCTTGCAGTGCAACTGTGAAATAAGTAACCAGGGCTCCAAAGAAAGTTCCTAGTAAAGTTCCTGTGGTAAAGAAAGTAAGAAACACCATGGAATTTAAGTGTGAAGTGATAGAAGAGTTTGAGAGTGGTATGAAGGTGGTGGAACTTGCCAGGATGTACAGCAAGAATAAATCAACAATTACATCCATCCTGGCAAAGAAAGAACAAATCAAAGATGCTAATGTTGCAAAAGGAGTAACTTTTCTAACTAAACAAAGGCCACCAATAATGGAAGAGATGGAAAAGTTATTATTATTGTGGACTAAGGAAAAAGAATTAGTGGGAGACAGTGTTGTGAAGTCTACTATTTGTGAGAAGGCAAAGGAGTTGCATGAGGATCTTGCAAAGAAAATGCCTGGAATAAGTGCTGCAGTTGTGAATTTAGGGCCAGCAAAGGATGGTTTGATAGATTTAAGAAGCTAAGTGGCATACACAGTGTTGTAAGGCATGGTGAGGCTGCAAGTTCTGACAAATGTGCAGCTGAAAAGTATGTTCACGAATTCCAGGACTGTGTAAAGGCTGAAGGATTCGAACCCCAACAAGTGTTCAATTGTGATGAAACAGGCCTGTTTTGGAAGAAAATGCAAAACAGAATCTACATTACCCAGGAGGAAAAGGCACTGCCAGAACACAAGCCTATGAAAGATAGGCTTACTCTTTTGTTGTATGGTAATGCTAGTGGGGATTTCAAAGTAAAGCCTTTACTCATGTATCACTCAAAAAATCCCAGTGTGTTCAAGAAAAACAATGTCATGAAGGATAGATTGTGTGTTGTGGAAAGCTAATCATAAGGCATGGGTCACAAGGCAAATTTTCAAAGAGTGGGTTAACCCTTTCAGGGTTTCGGACGTATTAGTACGGCTTACGCACCAGGGTTTTTGACGTTTGTACTAGTACGCCTAAATTCTAGTGCCCTCAAATCTAGTGAGAGAAAGCTGGTAGGCCTACATATGAAAGAATGGGTCTATGTGGTCAGTGTGCGCAGTATAAAAAAAATGCTGCAGCACACAGTGGGTAAGGAGAAAAAAAACTTTGTGTTTTTGGATTAAAACAGCGACTTTGCACTGTATTTTCTTATGGTATTTGTTGTTGTATTCTAGTTTTCCTGGTCTTATTTTATAGAATGGAAAACATATTAGAGAAATTGAGATGATTTTGACTGGTTTTAAAATGAAAAGTACCTTGAAATTGAGCTCAAAGTAGCAGAAATGTTCGATTTTTACCAAAGTTCAAGAGTAAACAAATCATGCCAAGCGTCCAATACACATCAACTGGTGAGTCTAATATTCTTTCACAAGTGCGCTGATATTATTTATACCATTTCTACACTAGTGCAGTAGTCTGCATAACAGTAAATCTTCTATTTTTTGAGAATACAAATTCAAAGTGGAAAGCAAAAGAATGTAAGAGGGGCATGGGGAACGTGACTAATGAACAGAGGAAGTGTTATTTTAGTGCCAGGAATGTCTTTCTTGTTTATTCTGGACCCTATTCGGAAATTGGCATCTTTTGAAATTTGTGTGAAATTGGCAAAATTGCTAAATTCTGACCACTTTATTGGATAGTTGAAATCGGTAAATGGGAGGTTTCTTGTACTCATTCAGTAGAAAAATGGAGTTCTAGCGAAATAGTTATGATTTTTGTCGACTAGTACACGGGAATTGGCCGAAAATAGGGCTCAAAGTGGGCAAAATCGCCGATGCGTAAACATCGTCGAGACCGCTAATTTCGCGAGTGCATAATCATGCTATGCGTCCAGTACACATCAACTGGTGAGTCTGATATTCTTTCACAAGTGCGCTGATATTATTTATACCATTTCTACACTTAGTGCAGTAGTCTGCATAACAGTAAATCTTCTATTTTTTGAGAATAAAAATTCAAAGTGGAAAGCAAAAGAATGTAAGAGGGGCATGGGAACGTGACTGATGAACAGAGGAAATGTTATTTTAGTGCCAGGAATGTCTTTCTTGTTTATTCTGGACCCTATTTGGAAATTGGCATCTTTTTAAATTTGTGTGAAATTGGCAAAATTGCTAAATTCTGACCACTTTATTGGATAGTTGAAATCGGTAAATGGGAGGTTTCTTGTACTCATTCAATAGAAAAATGGAGTTGTAGCAAAATAGTTATCATTTTTGTCTACTAGTACACTGGAATTGGCCGAAAATAGGGCTCAAAGTGGGCAAAATCTCCGATGTGTAAACATCGTCGAGACCGCTAGCTTCGCGAGCACATAATTCCATAAGTTTTCCATCAAATCTCATACTTTTGGTGTCATTATGATCGGGAAAAGATTCTCTATCTTTTTACAAGAATTTTTTTTTTTTTTTTTTTTTTTTTTTTTTTTTTTTTTTTTTTTTTTTTTGAAAATTTGGCGACCGAGAACAAGTCTTGGAGAGGGCCTGGCAACCCTGAAAGGGTTAATGATGTGTTTGACCCAAGTGTGAAAAAATACCTCCTGGAAAAGAAATCGTCACTCAAGTGCCTCCTGGTAATGGACAATGCTCCTGCACATCCTCCAGACTTGCAAGACCAAGTGTTTAGGGACTTCAGTTTCATCACATTGAAGTTCTTGCCTCCTAACACCACTCCTCTCCTTTAGCCCATGGACCAGCAGGTCATTTCTAACTTCAAAAAACGCTACACAAAAGCAGTGTTTCAAAAGTGCTTTGAAGTGACCTCGGACACTCGGTTGACTCTAAGACAGTTCTGGAGGAATCACTTCACTATCCTCCATTGCATAAGCTTTATAGGTAAGGCTTGGGTGGGAGTGACTAACAGGACTTTGAACTCTGCTTGGAGAAAACTGTGGCCAGATTGTGTCCAAGAGAGGGATTTTGAAGGGTTTGGGGCTGACCCTGACAACCCTGTGGACTCTATTGTGGCACTGGGGAAGTCCATGGGGTTGGAGGTGAGTGGCGAGGATGTGGAAAAGTTGGTGGAGGACCACTGAAGAGCTGCAGAGCTTTAACTTCAACAGCAACAGACTGCAGCTGAGGAACTTGCTTCAGAGGAGGAGGAAGAGAGAGTGAAGGAGGTGCCTTCTTCAGTGATTAAAGAGGTTTGTGCAATGTGGACTAGGGTGCAAGCTTTTGTAGAGAAAAACCACCCTGATCAAGCTGAAACAAGACATATCTGCAACATGTTTAGTGACAAAACTCTGTCCCACTTCAGGGAAATCTTAAAGAGAGATGCCAGAAACAGAGCACTCTGGACAGTTATTTTGTGAGACAGGGGTCCAGTGACTCTCAAGCTGGTCCTAGTGGCAATAAAAGACAGAGAAGGGAAGTAACCCCAGAGAAGGTTTTGCTACCTAAATTCTTTATGGAGGGGGATTTCCCTTCCAAACACTAACTCCTCCCTCTTTCCTCCTCCCTATTTTCCAGAAACCAGCATTAGTCTTTAATAAAGGTATGTAATACATAATTGTTAAAAAAAAATTTTTTGTGAATATTGGTGATTGGTGGAATGATGAAGTAAAGGGTGTGATAAAAGAGAAAAAGGTAGCTTATGAGAGGTTTTTACAAAGCAGAAGTGTTATAAGAAGAGCAGAATATATGGAGAGTAAAAGAAAGGTAAAGAGAGTGGTGAGAGAGTGCAAAAGGAGAGCAGATGATAGAGTGGGAGAGGCACTGTCAAGAAATTTTAATGAAAATAAAAAAATTTTGGAGTGAGTTAAACAAGTTAAGAAAGCCAAGGGAAAATATGGATTTGTCAGTTAAAAAACAGAGTAGGGGAGTTAGTAGATGGGGAGATGGAGGTATTAGGTAGATGGCGAGAATATTTTGAGGAACTTTTAAATGTTAGGAAGAAACAGAGGCAGTAATTTCATGCACTGGTCAGGGAGGTATACCATCTTTTAGGAGTGAAGAAGAGCAGAATGTAAGTGTGGGGGAGGTAACTGAGGCATTACGTAAAATGAAAGGGGGTAAAGCAGCTGTACTGATGGGATCATGACAGAAATGTTAAAAGCAGGGGGGGATATAGTGTTGGAGTGGTTGGTACTTTTGTTTCAAATAAATGTATGAAAGAGGGGAAGGTACCTAGGGATGGCGGAGAGCATGTATAGTCCCTTTATATAAAGGGAAAGGGGACAAAAGAGACTGTAAAAATTATAGAGGAATAAGCTTACTGAGTATACCAGGAAAAGTGTACGGTAGGGTTATAATTGAAAGAATTAGAGGTAAGACAGAATGTAGGATTTGCGGATGAGCAAGGAGGTTTCAGAGTGGGTAGGGGATGTGTAGATCAAGTGTTTTACATTGAAGCATATATGTGAACAGTATTTAGATAAAGGTAGGAAGTTTTTATTGCATTTATGGATTTAGAAAAGGCATATGATAGAGTGGATAGAGGACAATGTGGCAGATGTTGCAAGTATATGGAATAGGTGGTAAGTTATTAAATGCTGTAAAGAGTTTTTATGAAGATAGTGAGGCTCAGGTTAGGGTGTGTAGAAGAGAGGGAGACTATTTCCCGGTAAAAAGTAGTCTTAGACAGGGATGTGTAATGTCACCATGGTTGTTTAATATATTTATAGA